GTCAGTGCCTTGAGTAGCCCAGGTTGGCCTGGAGCTTACTATGTATCTCAGGCTAGCCTCAAACTCATGGTAACCCTCCTGTCTCAACCTCCTGAGTGCTAGGATTACAGGCTTGCAGCATCACACCCAGCAAGTATCCTCATTTTTTTAGGGTAAATGATGACCAAAACCAAAACAACACAAAACAAAAAAATCAAATGGCCCTTAGTAAGGCCAGGCATCATTCTTCTTCAGTTAACCCTATCAAAGCCTTATGAGAGGCTTACTGTTATCACACACCCACTTTATATAGGAGGACCTAAAGAGTGATCAGACACACTATGAAGTGGCTGGGATGGCCCCTCCTGCTCAGGATCAAACCCAGGCTTCATGCCTGCTCTGCAGCACTAACTACTATAACCACTAGGCGGCACACCAGCCCTGGGCTGGCTTTTGAACCCCGGTCTAGAGTGCCATCTCCAAGCACCCACTGGGCACTCAGGCCCTGTCCTAGACGGATATTGAGGTTCCTTCTCTTCCCTCCCCTCTTCTCTGGTCCTGCAGCTGAACCTCATCCTCCCCTCTGCTCCTCCATCTCTGTCCCCCAGCCTCACCATACAGATGCTGGATGCCTTTCACGTCGTCTTCATGCAGAGGGGAGCCCTCAAGGAAGCGGTACATGGGGTACATGAGCGCTTCTGGCACTGTAGAATGATCTAAGCCCAGCGCATGGCCGAACTCATGCGCTGCCACCAGGAACAGGCTGTACCCTGGAAAGGAGGAGGAGCCTAAGATGCAAACGGCAGGCCAAGGCCGCAGCCCTGGCTGCTCCACCCCCAGACTGCCAGGAGGTGACTCGGAACCCACGCTAGGAGCCTCGGAACGCCGCCCACCTTGGTCTGGGCAGAAACCCCACTTCTTGTCAGTGTCGAAGCTCGAGGTGGTAGCGCACCAGAGGCGCCCGTCGTTGCGGCCCTCGCTGGTACAGGTGGAGTACTCCTTGCCCAGGAAGACGAAGGGGAAGACGCACAGCTCGCCTGCCGAGTTGCCCCCAACCACAGTCGCGTCGGCTGGAGAGACCAAGGGTCATAAGTGAACCAGGTGGGTGGATGTAATAGGGTGCCAGGGGTGGACGAAACTCTCAAGTGCACTCAAGACTCTCGATAGCCTATTTTTTGAAGCCTAGGGGGCGCTGTGGAGCACGCTGGAGCCTGGAAATACTAATGGGCAGAGCCTAACATAGGAGACCAAGGCTGAGGCCCAAGGCCAAACAAAAAAGGCTGCCCACTTGGGAGTCACAGAGAGGAGATGTGGAGGGAGGCCGTGCGTGGTAAATGGAGAGAGGAGGTGAATGGGTGGAAACGCCACCTTTTGGAGGGCAGAGCCGGGCTGAAGTTGGTAGGCGGGGCAGAGGTACCTCGGGTAGGGCAGAAGCCATACAGCTTATCCTGGTCGTAGCTGGCCGTGGTGGCGCACCAGCGGTAACCATCCGAGCGACCCTCCGTGGTGCAGGCAGAGTAGGAGCGGCCCTCAAAGATGAACGGAAACACGCAGGGTTTGCCGTCCCCATTGCCGTGTTCCGTGTAGAGTCCTGAGGAGACCCGCGTTGTTACCTCCAAGGGTGGCCCCGACGACCACCAGGGCCCAGACCTCCTCTCATTTCACAGAGGAGACTGGACCGAGAAGCGGGGGTGGGGGGCGCGGACGGACGGGACACCTGGCCACACCACTAGTGGCAGAGGGGGATTGGAAACTAAGATTCTGGGCCGTGGCTCCCCTCCACTCCACCCCGCGGTGCACACTCACTCTCACTGGGGCAGAAACCGAACTTGCGGTCGGTGTCATAGTCGGCTGTAGTACTACACCAAGGCGCGCCATCGGTGCGGCCATCTGTGGTGCAGGCCAAGTACGAGCGTCCCTCGAAGGTGAAGGGAAAGTGACACGGGGCACCATTTGCGTTTCCAAAGTAGGTGGGGACCACTGTGGTAAGGAGACGAGGGTCAGGACGGCTGGCCCACGATAAGAAGAGGGGGTGGGGGGCGGCGGGATGCAGGAAGGCTCAAGATCTCACCGACGCCCTTGCCCAGCGACCACAACTCTTCATCGTCGAAGTGGGCATCTCCCTGGATGCCCCGGCCAGGGGGAAAGGCGTGTGCCAGAAGACCGTCCTTGCCGTCAAAGGGATACCCGTCTCCGTGCTCTGCAGAGGCAGACGGGGAGGAAGGCAGTCAACCAACGACAGTTGCGTAGACTCTGCTCTCTTTAGTGGCACGAGACCGAAGGCTGTGCCCCCTCCCCCTTCAACAAGCGCCCCAGGCCTTGCAAGGAGGCGGCCGCGGCTCCAATCCCGCAGGGCACCAATTGTGGGCGCGGCGACCGGGGATTGTGGGGCGGGCGGAAAAGCGGATCCGCTGTCCCTTCTATTCTGTCTGTGGTCCTCCCTCCCATGGCCCGGCCCCGGAGTTCTCACCGGCGACGCCAAACTGAATGACAATGTCTGCCTCGAGGCCGTACACGCGGGTGAACGTGAGCGGTGTCACCGCGCTCCACACGGCGAAGGCGCGCGCGAAGGCGTCGTCGATCACGTCTCGTGGCAAGTCTTCCGAGTAGTTTTGAATCCTGCAGGTGAAAAGGCCGAGTCAGTAGGGGGTGGGGGGCGTGCCGGGATCACAAATGAGAAGGGGCGGAGCAGCAGCCACACACCAGTGCTCCAGGCTTTCAGAACTTGCATGGCTAAGATACCTTGTCGGTCAAGCGCGGGTGCAGCCTGGCCTCCAAGCCTGCCCCAGCCACCTGCTTCTAGCCCAGCGTCTCACCAGTATGTGATGTTATGGTGGTGCCACTTGAGGTCACCCTCGAAGGTTTGGAATTTGCCCAGGTCTGGGACACCACAGCGTGGTGCACGAATGGCCTCCAGTGTCTTGCTGTCCAGTTCACCAGTCTGGGGCAGGGACAGCTGCTTCTGAAGCAGCAGCAAAGCAGGCCGCAGGCTCAGCTTCTCTCCCTGCATCTCGGCTACCCGACTGTAACCATAGCGGTACAGGTATTCCTGTGGACGGAGAGGCAGAGACATAGCGGAGTTCTGGCACCCTTTCCTCGCCCTCTGGACCATATGCTTAGGAACTCTAAAACCAGGACACCAGGGCTTCTTCTCACACAGCTAAAATTTCCCTGTCCTGTGGATAACACAGCTCCTGCCCATCTAAGATGATCTGAACCATGCCTACCCCACAGCTCCCCTAGGGTTCACGTCCATCCTGTGCCTAATCCACAACCCTCCAAGGCCACCCCCATCCCATTGCCCTAGCAAACTTGAATCTGTCGGTTATTTTCAGCACTGCCCAGAGCCTGCCTCCACACTACCCCTAGAGCCTAACCCTGGCACCTCTGTTTCTCCAGACATGCCCATTGCCACGCAAATCCAGAGAGCATCTTCGAACCCCATGCTTCCTCAGGGACACTGGGCATCTTCCTGGCCAGCCCTTCCCAACTTTCCACTGAGACATTGTTGTCTACCTGTGCCAGCTGTGTGTCGGTGAGGCTGCTGGTCCTCAGGTCTCTGGGGAAGACCACAAAAGTAGGCTGGCGCTGGTAAGGGGCAGCAGAGCTGCAGCCCAGAGCCAGGAGTGCCAGGATCAGGGGCTGCCAGGGACTCATGGTGAGGATGGCAGTGTCTGGCTGATGCTGCCCTTTCTTCTGAGATTTTAAAGAGGCAGTAAAACTGAATCAGTAGTCCCGCCCCTCCCCTCCAGGCGGGTGCTGACTCAGTGTGTGTGTGTGTGTGTGTGTGTGTGTGTGTGTGTGTTGGGCAGCCCAAAGAAAGGGCTTACACCACCCCCTCCTTTCTGCCCTACCCACAGTCCACATTGCCGAGTCAGGCAGGACCCCAGACCCACAGGAAACCACAGCACTCAGGGGAGCGGTTGAGTTTTGCAAACTACAGAATTTGTGGGAAAGGGAAGGAGGCTGTCAGGGATGGGGACTCACCTAGCCCTAGGTCTGAAGGCCCTAAGTGGTCAGTCCAGTAGAGGACTGGAAAACTGCCTGAGATCCCCCTTTCTTGGGCTTCTGAGACACCCCCCTCCCCGAGCTCAGCCTGGAGCCCCTCCACACACTGTAGGTTCTGTCTGCTCATCCCCCTCCCTGGTGGTGCCCTTGACTCAGCTTCCTCTCCTGCCAGCTGGGAGCAGGCTCTTCAAGGCAGGATTTGGGGAATTCCACCGGGCAGCCCCCTCGCTTCAGCAGGCTGACTCCTTGGGGAAGGAAAGATGAACCTCAGGGGCATGTGGGAACAAGCAGAAGTTTCACCCTTCCCATGAGCCTCAGGCAAGCATCCTTCTTCTACTGTCTAAAGAATCAAAAAACGGACCCTTTGTCCCTCAATCCTTTGTCCCTGTATCAATGTGGGGATAAAATGAGACGTATGAAACACAAAAAGTGATTTTAGCATAATGTCCATGAGACCTCAGTTGATGGTGCAGTTTCCTTTTAACTATCTGGAGGCTGGGTTTGGGATTGGAATCGGGAGACTGGGGTCTTAGCTCTGAGTCTCTGGGTGACCTGGAGCACACATTCTTCCTTTCCCTGAACTATGAATTCTTCACGGACTCTTCCTCTCTTCCATCCATGAAAACTGCGCAGTTTCACCAATAGCCAGCAGCCTCCTGCCTTCCATCACCCAGCCAGCCACCGTGGTGAAGCAGGCCTTTATTTGCCGTCAGCAAGGGTTTTGACAGAGCCTCCTAGGTGCCCAGACCTTTGTACACTTCCCCAATGGACAGACCTGTGAGATGGAGAAGGGAGAATCGGTGTCCTCCCCAGCTTCTCTTATGTGCATCTAAGTGATGCTCTTCAGTCCTGAATTGCAGTCCTGGGTCCACCATTTCCCAACTTCACCATTTCCCAACTCGGTCACCTTGGGCAAGCCATTTCATCTCCAAGCCACAGTGATAATTCACTTTTGGTGATTTGCTGTGTTGAACACTGTGATATGCTAATCTACAAACCTCTCATTTCCTCTTCCTCCTCCTCTCTCTGTCTCTTTCTCTATGTCTCTCTGTGTCTGTGTGTGTGTGTGTGTGTGTGTGCGCGCGTGCGTGCACATGCTCTTGCAACTAGGGTCTTACACATGCTGGGCAAGCACTTTGCAGCTCAGCTGTTCCTAGCCTTTGATTGTGTGTATTTGTCTTAGGGGGTGTGTGTGTATATATACACGTGTGTGCAGGGACACACACCCATGCCTGCCAAGGCTGGAGGAGACATTGGGTGTCCTCCTCCTCTGTCATCTTTCCCACTTACTCCTTCGAGACACAGTCTCCCCCTACACCTGGAGCTCAATGTTTTTCAAATCAGCTGGCAGCCATCAATCCCTAGTGACACTCCTGTCTCTGAGTCTCTGTTCCCCTAGTGCTGAGAGGCGTGGGTGGCCATGGCCAGCTTTTTACATGATGCTGGGGATCCGAACCCAGGTCTGCATGCTTCTGCAACAGTTGCTGTTACCCTGGAAGGGAGTCATTTCCCCAGATCATCCTTGGTTTATGGAGACAAGATCCTACTCTGTGGCTCAGATTTGTGGTGCGCTCCCATGTCCCGCCTCCGACTCCCAAGTGCGGTATTACAGGTGTGCATATCATACCTCGCTTATGAGGTTGATTTGGTGAGTAGCCCTGGCTTTTGTCAGGGGAATTGCTGGTGGTCACACAGGTAGTTAACAGAGCCAGGATTCAAGCCTTGGACAGCCTGACTCTGGGGCCTTTCACCTGTGCAGGGGGCTGAGCAGATCAGGGTACAGATGAACAAAATGGGCGGGTCTTAAAGCCTGCACCCTGCTCCTCTGATCTCCTGCCACCTTCCTGTGATGAGGACCGAGGCTCGGGATGTCGTATGTGTGGATGGCATGTCTATAGATTACACCATGCCAGTGTTGGATGTCATATCGATGTATATATGTCCTATCTGTGTTGTATGTCACATTTATGCATACATCATGTCTATGTTTGTCTTGTTTCTCAAGCTTGGCATCCTTGTTGTTTTTGAGATAGGGTCCCACTGTGTAGCCCTGCCTAGCCTAGAACTTGCTAATATGGACCAGCCTGGCCTCAAAACTCACAGAGTTCCTCCTGCCTCTGCCTCCTGAGTGATGAGATTAAAGGTGTGCGCCACCACACCTAGC